ATTCTTAGCATTTTCAGAATGTCCCTGAGATTTCCATCTAGACCTCTTTACAGTGTCAACCTTCCAGCAATATTCAGTAATATAATCTCAATTTCCTATTATACCAATACCAGCCCCAAATCTTGTTTAGTTCAGAAAGGACTGTCGGGAATCCAGGAAAAGAAGAGTCCTAATAGGGAGTTACATCTCAAATGTTACATCTCCCTAGATGTAACATTTGAGCATGCTGACAGTCCTGGAGAAGGTACTATCAATGTTTGTTGCACTGAGAAGAAGCACATGGAGACAGAAACTTGTTCTATCCAGCAGATCTGGTGACCATCATGTGGTTCAGACACTGGAAAGATAATCCATGATCCAGTGGATGAGTTGCCCCTTAATTTTGGAAGACTCCATAGAAAATCCTTGGAAGAGAATATACAATGAATCTAGCAAAAAGAAAACAAGGACCACATGGATCTGGGACAGATCATTAGGTCAAGGGTAGATTTCAGAATTATGAAACTAATCAAATCAAAACTTACCCTGGGCTTTTGGGACCCACATGACTGCAGAGTTTAAAAAAAAAAAGGCAAACAGAAGTCAAATATACTTCAAGACAGGGATCTGATAACAAGGAAGAAAACATTTATGCAAAAAAAGAGCTTACTCTAGACAAGTATCCTTAGGCAGGGATATCTGGGGTTGTTTCACTTAACTTATCCACATTCATCACAGTGTTGCTGACAAGATGTTCTGAATTAGGAATAAAGCTTAACCCAGATTTGGAAGTTGAATCAAAATGGGAGTAGGATTCATGGAACTAAAAATCAAACAAATAATACAGGATGGTAATGATCAAATCCTACCAAGCATAAGTGGTTAGTCAAGTGTATTTGCACTCCAAAGAAAGAGAGCACAATGTCATTAAAATATAAAGAAATAATAATGACAATAACCAATAACAGCAACTATAAAACATGATATTCTTGCCATGTACCAGATAATCATATTTAATACTTAAAACAATTCTGCAATAATTTGAACCCTTAAAATTATTCTTGATGAGAATCCTCAACTTCAAAAAAATTTAAAAAGTTACCCAATAAAATATATTTACCAAAAGCTGTACTGACCCTTGTTTCAAATACACTTCTATTTTTATGAAGAACAGAAAGATTTTTTTTCTCATTAGCCTTTATGA